TTCTTTCTTCGTCTTTGTGAACCTTGTTCACTTTTTCTCGTCTGTCCATTTGTTTTGTGTTTTCGTTTTATCTGTTTACATTTGTGTTTTTTTTTTTTCACACGTCCTTCTGTTTTACTTTCATCTGTTGATCTTTGTTTGCTAAGTTAAATTGTTGTCTCGCTGATAAGCGAAACTTTATTTTTACCCCCCCTTCATTTTTTTCCGCCTATAAGGCGGTTCCCCACCCGTATTTACCCCGTCCCTCCCCTTCCTTCTTAATATTTAAAAAATGGAAAAGAAGGAAAAAAAAAAAAACCTTTTTTTAGCAAAAAAAAAAAAAAAAAAAAAAGCGAAATTTGTCTGATTATAGGAAGGCAATACGAAAGCATTTATTCAACCCACCAAAAAAGACCCCCCGGATAAAGACAATGTAAATGAATATCCAGCACTTGAGCCTACTTCCCCTAGTGATGATGAAACCGCTGGGAAAAAAGAAAAAAATAATGCTATGGTGGCCAATAATGGCAATAACAAGGAAAAAGAAAAATCTACGGAGGCCAATAATGGCCAAAATTCTCAAAAAGACAAAGAAGACAGAAATGACACTCAAGACAAGCCTGAGGCCGGGGAATCGCCCTCTTGTTGGTCGTCCCCACCAAAGTGCATAATCAATTTAGCGGAGTTCTTGGAGCGTGCTAAGAGTTACGCTTACCTTGTTGTAGAAGGTGGACTCTTAGAAGACCCCCAAGAATAGTGTCAGTTTTCGTCGTGGACAAGCGTACGCGCAAAATTTGTCGCTCGACGAAAAACACAGTGTTGAAAGCATTAGAGTCCTTGGGGTTTAAGCCCCTCAGAATAGTTAAGGGAGCTAACTTTTTCATGTGGGACGTACTGTTGCCCACATCGGAAGACTGCGTCACCGCGGGTAGCCACGAGCTAATAACTAAAGAATTGATACTGCGGACGGAGTACGAAGGCCGAAGAAGGACCATCGTAACAGTTTACAAGGTCCCTCGTCAGGTTATCGGAACATCTCGCCGCGTTTTTCTCCCAGTATGGCGAAATTCTAGGAGCTTCCTGTGATAGCTTGAGTGGGGGTGGTGGAGCTTTGATATCATGCTGGACGAGAAAGCCTTCCGCTCCATCCCCAACTGTCTGGATGTTGGTAGCTTGAAGTTACCGGTCATAGTGACGGGTCGAAAACCGGTATGCTAGAGGTGTGGCGTAACTGGTCATCTCTCCTCCTCCTGCCCAGAGAAGAAGGCCTCTGGAAATCAAGCTCCTTTTGATCAAGATCCCCCTCTGACCGTTTCTGTACATTCCGCCTCGCCTGTAATGGGCGTACCAGCTTCCGGGACCGGGTCGGTTAATCCTCCGGTTGGCGTGTCATCAAAAGCCACATTCCCCAAAGAGCCTTCGCCCGTTGCTAGTGCAGTTGTGGAGAAGGGGGAGGGGAAATGGTTGGTTGCTGGTAAGGCCAGAGGAAAGCACCGGACAGCGGGTCCTCAGTCCCCTGAAGCCCCAAGGAAGAAAGGCACTTACAGCCCCACTCCCTCTAGCAACGTTAAGGGCGATGCCCCAGCCTCTCAACTGACACTCCAAGAAAAACAACGGAAATTTGATCCGGGATTCAAAAAGACCGAGAAAATTAAGGAGCTGAAGAAGCAATTGGATGCAAAAAGAAAAGACCTTATCCTTAAACATCCTCTGCTCGGCCCAACCCTTTACCGAAAAAACAACCCTTTGATATCGCCATCCAAATCCTCTCCCCTCAGTAGAGATCCCAGCCCCTATAGACATAGGTCTTTCTATAGCCCTCTCCATACACCCACTCCCTCCCCCGTTAAACAAAAATCCACTCCCCTCTGTACCCCCAGTCAATCTCCGGTTAAAAAATCCGATATGCCACCTCCCGCTTCCACGCGTCTAAGAAGCCCCACACAAGAGCAAAGAAAGAAAAGACTGATTTTTAACACTGGAGAGGAGGTGTGTCATATTTCCCCAGCCCAGGCCGAGGGAGCCCGGGATTATGGGAACAGGTTAAAGGACCTGAAGTACTTACTCTCCATCAAGCAGTTTGCGGACCTGGATATAGAAGTACCAGAAAAATTCCCAAATGCGCAGAGAGTCTTGACTGTGATAAGGTCTGGATCTGCTGCAAAACAGATTTGGGCCATGGTGGACGAGGCCATCAATGCATATAAGATGGCTTTACCCATCGCTATCATCGAAAATGACCACTTTAATTTAAAACAGTTCTGTGCAGGGAGGGTCCCTGTTTTAGTTCACCCCTCCCTATATAGAGCACTTAAATTGACCTTCCCCTGGGATATCGGTGGTATCTCCCAAGACGGCACCATCAAGACTGAGATAGGCCATGGGTCTATGGGAGAGGCAGTCGGTATCCTTACCCCGTCCATGTTCAAACCAGTAGTTCAACCCTAACCGGTCTTCACTATGGCTCTCTGGTTAGCTAGTGTAAATGTCCGGGGCCTGAGGTCCGAGTCTCGCAGGGCGAGGTTCACTCGTGACCTTCAGCGCCTCGGGGTGGATGTGTGTTGTGTGCAAGAGACTCGGTTTTCTTCTCATGACCGTGAGAACATTCTGTCTAGGGGGTTCGCCCTTTATTCAGCATGTTTTAATTGTCGTTCGAGGGGTGTCTCTTGGCTAGTGAGCTGGTCTTTGAAGGCTGCATGTACCCTTGTCTTCGCGGATCCGGCGGGCAGGCTTTGTGTGCTGGATGTTACCATAAAGGATAAGGCTCTACGTCTCATTAGGGTTTATGCGCCCAATAACCATGCCGAGCAGCCTGCTTTGTTTCGGCAGATCGCTCCGTCCTTGACGACATCTCGTCGGGTAGTTTTAGCGGGGCATCGGAATGCCGTCCTTGACCCCGATATAGATCGTATAGGGCAAAGACAAGGTACTAACAACCCGGACGTGAAACCATTTCGGGGCTTTATCGGCGAGTTTGATCTCGCCGATAAGTACGGAATGAACAATCTTTGGGAGGTAGCATGGACTTGGACTAATAGTGGCATCTCGGCTCCTGGGACGCTTGCGAGCTACCTGGACGAGTCCTAGTTAAGAGAGTCGATGTAGGGATCCTAGGGTGTCCAAGCTTCCACTATATAGTTTATACGGATCATAGGCTTGTCCGGGTCCGTGTAAACTTAGATAAGCCTAAGGCTAGACTAGCTGGTTACTGGAAATTTAACTGTTCACTATTTGGTGAGCAGGGTTTCCGGGACCAGCTGCTACTAATCATTCAGAGGGAATTGATGGGGGCGGTTGTGGGAAACGCCTGGTGGGGCAAATTAAAATCCAAAATTAGAACGTTTGCTGCCAATTTTAGTCGTCGACTCAATCTAGATAGATTAGAGGCGCAAACGGCTTTAGAAGAAAAAGTTGATCGGGCCGTGAAATCCCGTATTAATGGGGACATAGTCTTAGCTAAGGCAGAGTTGTCCTCCTTGCTTATCAAGAAGGATCAAGCTCTGGTAGTTAGGGCTAGGCTTAATGTCTTCTGAGGCGATGAACTTGGCCGCTGAACTACGTGCAAAGAATAGGAACACGTCTAGGCGACATATAGTGGGCGTCACATTGCCGGATAAGCGGACCGTGACTACAAACGCGGGCATATGCGAGGCCTTTCGGGATTACTTTCAGGATCTTTTCACCAGGGAGCCCGGTCTGAGCTCTGCTCAGTTCGACACCTATTTAGCTGACTTTCCCTGCTTTGAGGCAGCTGAAGCGGCTAGGTGCAAGGGTCCCATAACAGAGTCGGAAATCTGGGAAGCGCTGAAGCAGGTTGGCCTGGATAAGTCTCCGGGACTAGATGGTCTTCCATACGAAGTGTACTTGAGGCTGTCACCCGTTTTTGTTGCTTTGCTGGAACTGATTTTCAACCACTAGATGAAGCAGGGGTCTTTACCTCAACGCTTCACCAGGGGTGTGATCAAGTTGCTGCGTAAGGACAAGAACGGTGGGGATGGGTTAGGGAACGTTCGCCCTTTAACGATGTTAAATATGGACTTAAAGATTTTGGCGAAGATCTTAGCCAACCGTTTGCAGTTTGTCCTGTCTCATCTGATTGGCCCTGAACAGACCCTTCACATGGTACGCTTGATCTTAGAACAAGTCGACAGTGAAGCCGCGCTGATCAATTTGGATCAGTCCAAGGCCTTCGTTAGGGTTGACCATCGATTTCTGGAGGCTGTCCTTTCGGTGGCCAGTTTCGGAGCCGACTTTCTCTCCTGGATCCGATTCTTGTATGCAACCCCCGGTGCGCTGGTGGAAGTGAATGGGGTAAGATTGAAGCCTTTCGTATTGTCTCGCTCCATTCGTCAAGGTTGTTCGCTCTCACCTATGCTTTACATTCTTGTGTTGGAACCATTCCTTCGCAAGTTAAAGGCGAATCCGTCCTACGCGGAATTTCGCTGCCTGGTGCTTCCACCTCGGCCAGGTATTCAGCCTATGCTGACGACGTTTCGGTTCTTGTGTCGAGCAGAGCCGAGATTGACGAAGTCAGCAAGGAGATCAGTGGGTATGAGATGGTGACAGGGGCCAAGATAAACCGCAATAAGTCTGTTGGGTTGCGGTTGGGTGCGTGGAGGGGAGTTTCTCTTCCCGGACCTTTCCTCTGGACAGATGGGCCGATCAAGTTTCTCGGCGTCTGGTTCGGTCCTGATCTCCAGTTGGAAATGAATTGGTCGGAGGTACAAGGGAAGGCCGAGATCGCGGTTAATCTGTGGTCTCGGAGGAGACTTTCCCTGAAGGGAAGGGCGGAAGTATGTGTTTCACATATATCCAATTCTCCTCTCTCTATATATATTATAATTTCATCAAATTCATGTAGGCCACAAGAAGAAAATCAAAGCAACTCTGAATAAATAAATATGAAAAGATATAGCAACTGACATCACTCAATTTTTATTTATTTATTTCTTATTTTTTCCTTCTGCAATACTTGTTGGCAATCCTACAATCATTTTACATCACAATTGCTCTTCATTGTTTTACTGAAGAAATTTAGCATGGAATCTGACGTGATCTTCCACAAATGTTGCAATAAAATAATAGCTGTGATCATAGCCCTGAAGAATAGAGAAAAGGAAATTGAGTCAGCTTTAACAGAACTGATCATTTGAATATATATATATATATATATATATATATATATATATATGTTAAGAAATGGACAAGGTTCGACAATTTATTTATTAAAGACATTTTTATGTTTAACGTTGTTATTTTATAGATACAAGTATTTAAGCAAATGCTCTGTTTATGATAAACAGTATTAAATAACATTTACCGGCCTGAATGTCTGAAAAATTTTCATAGAAAATATTCGTTCTTTGACAGGACTCGAACCTGCATCCTATACGGAACCGTCATATACGCTGACGTGCCTTGACCGCTCGGCCACAAAGAACCAATCGGTAGACAAGGTCGAATTTACTGTTTATAAACTTCAATCTTCCATGAATCTCGTACATTCATAACTGCTCTAGTGTATCGAATGTAAACAAATGACGTCATATGTTAAGAAATGGACAAGGTCCGACAATTTATTTATTAAAGACATTTTGTTTACATTCGATACGCCAGAGCAGTTATGAATGTACGAGATTCATGGAAGATTGAAGTTCCGTATTCGTATAGGATGCAGGTTCGAGTCCTGTCAAAGAACGAATATTTTCTATGAAAATTTCTCGGACATTCAGGCCGGTAAATGTTATTTAATACTGTTTATCATAAACAGAACATTTGCTTAAATACTTGTATCTATAAAATAACAACGTTAAACATAAAATGTCTTTTAATAAATTTATATATATATATATATATATATATATATATATATATATATATATATATATATATATATATATATAGGAAAGGGAAGAAAATACACTTCAAATTGTCTGCATATTTACCTCTTGTCTTCTGAGGGTCAAGGGGACTTTTTTCTCAGCACAGACTTTCTCCATTGCATCTGGATTTAACTGACCATCAATTAAAAAGTTGTCAGCAGTTCCCTATAAATATTTTCAAGCAAAATTGTAAACTTCCTCCCACTGAATTCAAGCAATGGGTTAAACTTTCATAATTTCATTCAAAAGAAAAGTAACACATACTGCAGTCTAATCCTAATCTGACTTTTTGAAAAATCATTTTTAATACATTTACATATGCTTACTTCACCATATCGAAAGGGTTAACAAGTTAAACTTTATGACCATCACTTCTTTTTCATGCTCAACTACTCAAAGCTTTGTGTCATACTAAGTGACTATAAATAAATTTAAATTTCACTTTTAAGGTTCACGAATTTTCCAGCAGACAAATTTTCATGACAATTAGCCACTGAGACTAACAGATAATTTTTTTTCTTTTGTAATCTGTCTGTTATGTGCCATGCATGATTACACACTTAGGCAATTATGTATCTTTTGATACATGACTGACAAGGCAGATATTTTCCCCTGCAGTAGGTTGCCATTTCTTTCTGCAGTAGATCAGTTGCCATCCAAGGCTATATAACCTCATCTGTCCTGCTTTGAGGGGGGGGGGGATTCATACCTTTCCCAAGGGTATTAGCATATAAGTGAATGTAATGGATTTAGCCAGAATTCAAACTCGGGCTCCCCAATTCCTCAATCAGAGTCACTATCCATTACTCTACCATGCCTCCTGCAATATGTAATTGAAAAGAATTCACAGATAATGCTGAAGGTACTTTTCTAACAATTATCACCTAACAGTGGTTGAGGTGAGATGAGATAAGATGAGATTTCACTAACCATCTAACACACACACAAAACACAATGTGTGGGGGAGGCTTAAATGTTACAGGAAGTGAAGCTAAATTTTTTTTTCTTTTTTATTTCTTTTCAGTTTTATGAGCAGCACTTCCAATTCAATATCAGTTGTATTGGAATACATGTTTGTGTTTTTGGTAGACCATAAAGTCTGTGTGTTTTAGAATGGTATTCATTAGATTTCAATCATGGATTTTTTTCCCAACTCATATTCAATATTCATGCCTTGGAAATCATTTCATATTCATTGACTTTTTCTTCTGTCTTTGTGATAATGTTTTCTTTGTATTAGGTACAAATAATTACTGCTTGTGTGATACCCAGTCTTTCTGTTCTACCAAACACACAAAGTAGGTGTTTCTATAACTTATAAGATAAAAAGTGTTACTCATAACTATTTACTTGAAAAATTACAGCAAACTTATTGAAATACTAAAAGGCATATGTGTGCACATGTTTCATGGTTAAAGAAAAACATAGGATTTTCAATCGAGAAAAGCAGCCAAACATTTCTTCCAGTTATCCGAACTCAATGCATTCTATTTCAGCTCTAACAGGCATTTTCTAAATTTAGCAAGCCATACTCAACATTTAATAAAATATTTTTCATATATTTAAAAAGGAGATTGTTTGCAAATTATTTTCAGTGTTAAAAATAAAAGACATACAATGCAGAAAGGCAAATTCTTACCTGGTCAATCAAAATGTCAGGGTAAGTACTTCCATGTTTCGTAATTAAGCAACAGGCATCATATTCCTTAAAAAAAAAAAAAAAAAAAAAAAAAGGAGAGGGAAAAATACATTAAACATTCTCATTACTTCAAAACCAAAAATAATTACGTGGTCACAAGACCTTAAAAAAAAAAAAAAATTCCAAGTATGTCTGTCTGCTACATTGCTTACTTAACCCCTGTTGCACACCTGCTCAGGCACATTCAGGTTTCTTCAACACCTACCTGATGCTTATACTGCAATTACCTTAGCTACCATTTCTATGAGAGAGCATATAATCTGGCACTGTTTCAACAAAGCCAGTGCACTCAAACCCTAACTTACAATGACTTGTGGCTACGTGCTAGTACAACCAACAACAGATTCTGTAAAATTCCATCCACCCAATTTCCCTCTCAAGTCTTGGTCCAGTACTATCAAGAAGTCACCTCCTTGACAAATCAACCATGGACAGATTTCAAACCGGGTCTCCTGGCCAGAATCTGAACATCCTAATTACTCAAGCAGACAAACATATTACAAATATCTGTTACCACCTGAAAAAATTAACCAAAATAACTTGAACCCATCAAGATACAGAAAAGACACAATGACAATGTTTAAAGAGGATTAACTTGATTGTACAAGGACCAAGAGTCACTCAAGGTTACAACACCCCCAACCTAGGTGATAATACTATCAAGGAGCCACTGGAAGCGAAAGAGAAGGAAAGGCTTTAGAAGGAACCAGAAACCAGACACAAACCTCTATTCCTGTTCAAAATACCAGGAATGTGAATCAGACAACATTACTAAACTTACACAAAACAGAATTGACAAGGTTTGCAATTAACAATAACAAAGACAGAGCAAAAATAATATTAATCAAACACTGTATACAAGACAAAAGTAGACAAAGTAATATTAATAAGGCAAAAAGTTCAAACTAAAATTGGTATCAACACACAATCGACTGTGGCATTCTGACTTCAGAACAAGAAAGTCAGATAAGACTTACTAGTGGCTACGAAGAAATCCCAGCATGCATCTGTAGGTTTTTTTCTCTATAAATCTGAGGACAGGGAGGGATATTTTTGCAGTCATTCCTAAACCGATTGGAACCAACACAACTGATGGGATAGGTTGAGGTTTCTAAGGTAACAAAATATATTTCGCATAAACAATAACACATTTGTTTTTTTTCACAGCACACATTGAGAATTCCATGATGTTAAACAAACATGAAGAGGGTAAAATAAAGTCCAGGGCATCTGCTTAATTTTCCAAACTTTAATAAGCATTTATTCAAGTAACAAGAGTAGAAGTTTATAAGTAGGGAATGTCTGTATTTTGAAAAGTTAAATCTTTTTTAAATAGGAAATAAACATGCAAAATGATTCTACTTGAGAGTTCTTACAACTGAGCTTTCCTGACTTACATGCTGAATTTTTGACCTTCCAATGTAATAAAAACAAACAAGGATTAGAAAAAAAAAAAAAAGGTAAAAAACAGAAAAGGAGAGGAGGGTAAAATATATATGACCAGGTATGTTGTGTATGTATATTTCTATTTACGTGTACTTCTCTATGTGTGTGTGTGTGTGTGTGTGTGTGTGTGTGTGTGTATATATATATATATATGGTTGAATGAGTATGTGTATATGCCTATATATCTGAACTTTTAATTATAGGTGTGTGTATATATAAAAAGAGAGAGAGAGGTGTATGTATGTATGCAAGTGTGTGGACACCTCTCATATGTGACCTTGTTTGTGCATATGTAAACTTTGGTTTGTGTCCATAGGTGCAGACATTATAGATATATATATACACACACACTTGGATGTGTGCATACTTATATATGTGGATGTGTTGATATGGGTATTTATACATGTTTTTTATATATATATATATATATATATATATATATATATATATGTGTGTGTGTGTGTATAGATGCATGTTCACGTGTCTTATATGTAGGTATGTATGTATATCTTAATGTTTTTGGAATGTATCATCAATACTAACTAAAATATACTTTTGTTTAATAGGGTTTTTAATTGCTTATAGACTTAATCAAGGAGTCATTACATTTTGAAAATTATTATGGACTTTATTGTACTTTATCATCAACAAGATAATATTATTTACAATATGTGTAGGTTTACGTATGTGTGTGTGTGTATGTATATATATATATATATATATATATATAAAAGTTTCCATTTTTGTGTTTTTTTATATATATGCATGTGTTTGTTATATATATATATATATATATATATATATATATATATATATATAGTGTGTGTGTGATATTGGTTTGTTTATTTTTTACGTTGCTGTCTGGCTGGACATATTTATACTTGCTTTTCATATGTGTATATATGCATATAAGCATGTGTGTATGTGCACATATATGTGTGTGTATATATGTTTATCTGTAGGTAGGCTTTTCTGTGTACAGTAGTGTATATGTATGAAATATATATTTTTATATATATTTGTGTTTAGAAGTTTCATTTTTATATATTACATGCTGTTATTTTTATACGTATATATCCGTTTTTATGTCCTCTCTTTCCCAATTGTTTGTTTCTCTGTTCTATTAGACCATTTTTATCTATGTATATTTGCCCATATAAGTTATATTTGCCCATATAAGTTATATTTTAATAAGTGGTTAGAATTTATTTAATAACACTTTCAATCTTAAATATTTCTTGGTTGTTGTAACAGAATGTTTATGTCAATGTATGTGGGTGCATGTACATGTGTTTATCAGTGTCTGTGTGTATGGTAACTTGGAGGCTCCTTTCATCGTGTATGTAATCTTTTTTCTTTTTTTGTAAAGAGCCGTGGAGATATTTCCTGTATAGTCACTTTTTTTTTCTGTGTGTATATATCTAAATATGTCTATGTGCATATGTATTATAATCTGATTGTGTTTGTATTGTCTTTTGCAAGATGTCATCCTCCCCTACCTATATTTAGAATTCAAATGTATCTATGTTGTCATGAAATTCAGAGCAACATTTGATCTTAACGTTTATTCCAACTTAATTTCAATAAAAAAAACCAAAATAAATGGAATAACATATGTATTTTTCTTTTTTCCTCAGTAACTTTATAATTTTAAACGTCATAAACATTAATTTTTAAAATGTGTAATTTTAATTCTTTATTTCAAATTTTATCGTATAATACTTATTAGTTAGAATAAATTCTATTTTATTCTAACCAACATTAAGGCATTAAATAGTTATAACCTTAGTTATAATTTCCAAATATATATATAAAATTTTTTTTTTTTTTTAATTATATTACTACACAAAAACTTTCACATTTCAGAACTGTAATGTTCCTTCCAAAACAAGGAAACTTTTTACATTTGTTTCAGAATTTGCCACAGTCTATTCTGATCTAATGAAGGATGAATGGAATATCATTATAAACAAAAAGAAAGTGGACAAAAAATAATTCTGCTGACCAATTTCACATTACAATGGGATCATTAGTCTCTGCTGAGTCTTCCCACCTCATTGGATTGTTCATTTTATACAACCTTACTCCTCACCATTACATCAGTATACACAATATAGGGTTATATAGGGATGATGGCCTTGTGAGGAATTCTACTAATTTCAAAACTGACAAAATTAGAACATTAATACATACATTGTGTAAAAGCCTAAACCTTAGGATCAACACAAATTTAAAAAAGGTAAAACTTCCTCAATGTAACACTACACTTAGTCAACAATATATACCAAGCATACATGAAAACAAATACTAATCCATTATATTTCCACTCAAAATCTAATCACCATCCATCTATAATCAAACACATATTGTCATCCACACAATATAGAATTAGTAATAACTCTACCAGACATGTATTTTACAAACACAGCAATATGCCTTAAAAAAAATAGTGATTATAAATGCCCTTATATTAAATACAGAAAACAATGGTGAAAGAAAAAAAAAAAAAAAAAAAAGACCAAAAACTATTTTTAGTTATGCTATTTATTAACAGTTAAATATGTGTTTTGGAGCTCAAATCGATCAAGTGAGAATTTTGAAAGCTATAAATCCACAAAATTTTCTTCTTATGTGTTTATCAGTTAAAGTGAAATGGACTTACATATAATCCAATTAATCTACACATATTTCATCTTGGTCTTTGCCTACATATGGAAAAAAAAAATTGCGCCCTGAAGATGCCATCTACTCAAATATAAGGATCTTATTATTCAAGGAATTCATAGTAAGTTAATGTCTCATTAAGTCTTGTAAGCAAAGTGATTTTGCCATTAATCACATTAACATTGCTATTTAATTCTTTCTATAAATGGTTTCTTTATGAAAGTGATATATATTACAAACACCAACTTTTTCCGCTACCATAGATTCTGCCAATGAAGGCTTCCTTGGGCAGTGAAAAGGTCAACTGCTTTTCTACCACTTATGGTATTGGTGGGAAATTTAAGGAGACGAAAGGGGTAAAGCAAGGGGAAAGAAAAATAAAAAATGTTTGATACTCTCACCCACATTCATATTTTTCTAGTAGATATTTTTTTTTATCAGGTTTGCAACCTGTCATTATTTCAAATCTTTCATTTCACAAGTTGCCTTGCTCTGGATATAACTATCACCAGCTTTTCTTCCTTACACATAAAATTTCCAATATGGCTTCACTTTTACAATTTTCTTTTAACTCCCACACATGGCTAGCTAGTTTCGTACAATGTTTGTAACTTTCCAGCTTATATAAGGAATGATGGTGATACCATTTTTTTCTTAGACATGCCTTCTGTACACCAAAAATACCTTTTTCATTTTCCACCTTTGCCTTGGAAACTACCCCTTCTGTTTTACATATTCCATTTTCTATTTCAATAATTGCACAGGATTACTTATATCATTATCCCTATCTTTATTAAAATTCTTGATGTTCTGCTTCTTAATTGTATTTTCTAAGTTGCTGGTACAACTATAACTCATCTTCACAGTGTTTTTGTTGAAGATTTTATGCCACTCAGAAGTTTTGGGGAAATGTTTATCCTAGACAGGATAAACCTTGACTGTAAAAACAGTTTTAATATACATCACTGCAGAAACAGAGTTACATCCCCTGATTGGTTTCCTCAACATAAGCAACAGAACCAGTTGCATCCCTTGTTTTTTTATCTAAAACTTAAGTGGTAATTCAATAATCATTTAACAAAGTAACACAGTTTTCAAAAGCTACATAGTGAAACTATTTTATTTTCCTTAAAACCTACAGGTTATAAATATTGAATATAAATATATAAAAGTATCAGGTGCAATTTCAAATCACATTATTTCTCTATATAACAAAATTTTTATAGACCCAACACTTTCATTATATATATATAAAATTTTTTTTTCATCTTTCACAATTAAGAATTCAAACAATATAAATTATAAATAATATATATATATATATATATATATATATATATATATATATATATATATATATATATATATATAAGAAAGGTAAGACAAAAAAAAAAAATTTACAAACAAGTTTTGTCCCCCAAGGGACTTTATCACAATGAATGTACAGATTTTACTTCACGACAAGTCTTTACATTTACTTTGATAAAGACATTCAGGGGACAAAAAATTGCTAAAGAATGTTTTTTCCTTTTCTCTTTATTCATGTTGTCTTTTTACAGAGATATTTTTTATTTATATCTGATTTTTTTTTTTTTTTTTTACTTTTAGAGAAAAAAAAAAAACAAAAAATAAAACTTACCTCCCAGGTAGTTTTATCTTCACCTAAATATCCAGTGAAAGCCTTAATGCCCCAGGGACAGTTGACTGGATTACAGATTGGTGAAAAGGCACTTACTGACTTGTATTTATCAGAATTTTTCAGAGCTATCTGCAGGGCTCCTAAGCCACCCATACTAAATGTAAAAATAAAAAACAAAAAAAAATTAAAATATTAGAAAATAAATAACACTAAAAATCAATCAACCAATCATACACACACACACATAAATAACAGGTTCCTGAATTGAACCCTGATTCATACTTGATAGGATCTTATCCATATATAACTGGTTGCTGAGGGTGTGGTCAGCTCCTTGTCATGTCACTCACAATTGGTTGCTTTGCTGCACCAAATATAACCAGGTGGATCCAGTTTATTTGTCAGTATCAATCAACTGGGTCATACTTGGGAACAAGTGCCAACAAAGCTGGTATATTTCTGTCCCGATTCACTTTAACAGAGATTAAGCCTTTTGCACTTCCAACTCTCTGATTGCAATTGCCAGTAGGTGGACCCAAATTCTATTGTTTGGTCCTTATAGACAAATCGATGAAATTGATCTCACACAGAGCATGGTAATCTTTCACTTTTTGTTTGCTGTTAGCCATTCCGGGGGGTTGGGGGGTGATGTTCTTTGATAATTAATCAAACACATTCTCTAAACTTAAAATTTAATGTGAGGAGAAAAAAAAAAAAAAAAACATAAGTTTACAGAATTTAATTCCTACTAAATGACGTCTGAGGCTTATCTCTGTATCCACCGTGTGTGTGTGAAGCTGGTCAATTCCCTCCCCTCATGGAACATGGCTGCCAAGCAAAATGTGCTTGACTTTAATCTTTCCTGGATTACTCATTTCCCTTTACATAATCAAGAGAATGCTGTTTACAGGCTCACCATCCATGTAAAAATGTCTAGAGTTATGGTGACGATATTCCATTAAATCAAAAAATAAAATCATTGCAAATGACTACTAATCCCCGTTGCAGACACCTGCTCAGACACATTTGTGTGCCTTCAACACCCACAGAACTAACCTGTGTTTTATACTGCTACTATGCTGAGCAGACTTTAGTTACAATTTCTGGTAACATGCTCCTAATCTGGCACGAACACTAACCAGAAAAGGACTGTACAATCAAACCTCAGTCACATTGATTTGTGATTCCAAACTGTCTTGTTTACCCAATTTCAATCACATGGCATGGTTTTCAGGCACTTCCCAAAACAACGAGGTTGGCTTCCCAGGCTGATATAATCTAGAAGACAAATTGACCATAGTGAAATTCAAATCAGGGTGTCATGGTTAGAATGCTAACATTTGAACCTTGGCCAGATGTACACTAGAACAATATCTATCATCATGTATGCAAAACTCAGATCTTTGCTGCTACAGCATAGGCAAGTAAGGTAGTGTAACTTATGACAAGTAACTACACATTAAGCCTCTAAAGCTGGAAGCACACAAATGTTTAAGTTTCATATGAGTACATAATTGGGTAGCATTGTATTTCGATACACAGCATGTGATGGCCAGAAATCCATGACTTTGTCAAAGTTGTATATTTTACCAGCACACCCCCTCCGACTGTCATCATTTGCCTTGAATCTTTTTCTTTCATCATCGTTGCTACCCTGTGAGCAACGACCCAACACTTTCAACGCTAAGACACGTGACTGGTTTTGGAATGAACATCCATTCAAAGTGGTTTGACGGTTGGCATTTGCCACCAGTCAAACGGTCACATGACTTATCATATATCCACAAAAAGTATCCACAGATAGAGGATGACCTGCAGGCACTGAATCGGGAGGACATGCTTTTCCGTCTCTCCCTCTGCACATACGCTTCAACCATCTACACTTCAGCAATAGACTTTTCATCATCAATTCCCTTCCATCAGAGTAGACGCAATCTTAGCCTAATTTTCTGACCTAGCCTCCTATGTAAAGCAACAAGCATTTCGTCACGAACCTCAGTATCAAACGGACCTAACCTCCTGTCCAAAAGTGACAAGCATTCGTCACAAACCTCAGTATCAAACAGACCTTACCTCCTGTCTAAGCAACAAGCCAGTCAGAAATCCACAAGCCTTCAGACGTGGTACCTATACATTTTGGTTCTCGCCCTTTTTGGTCTATACTTCTTACTGGGCGATGTACGTTCTTGCAGCTCATAATCTTGGTGATTTTATTAGTCAAACTCATGTCACAATCGAGTTAATTCCCTTGGTCTTTGTTCTTTCATTAACGGAAAAGCATTCATAAGCAAAGTTGCCTCCCTTAAACAGTTTTATTCAAAAAAAAAAAAAAAAAAAAAAAGAGGAGACTCTTCCAAGTAATCTTCTCTACGTTTGGCCATTCTCCAAGGACACTTGGCGCCAAGACTACTACTAACAACCTATGACCACTAACATCAACCTCACATTGTACGAATTTGAGGACCACCTTTCCAGAAGCCAACAACTCTACATTGCTTTCTCTCCTCTCCTTCGTTTCCAAATTTGTTGTTAAAAATAAACTTACATCTTCTTATGCTACTCCTAACACTGTCCACTTTCTATGTTACAAGCTTGTCATGAACCATTGATATTCTAAGGGAATATCAAAGACACTTATACAGAGAAGTCTGCTGGTCTGACACAAGGCGATTCACAAGAAACTGCACAAGGCGACCAAGCACCTCCCTATAATTTCCAACACTGTATCAAGGCAAGAGTTAAGCAATCTGATAAGACAAAAGTGATTTCATGCCATTTCCAAGAGTACTAGAAGAGATAATTATGCATATAGATCCCAAACCAATGGCAGGTTTTTGAGCCCAGGTAAGAAAAATTATTTTAAATGCTGATATCTACCAAACTTGGTGTAAACTATTACAAAACAAAGACTTTCATTATTTTGCTTTCATTTCACAACCTGCAAACAAAATAAAAAGATTCTTGCCATGTAAAGATGTTCAATAACACTCTAAAAACATTAATGCCAAAACTTACCTGTGACCAAATATGGATTTCTTATCAGGAATTGCAGGAAAATTTGCTTCAATAAAAGCAGGTAACTGCAAAAGTGAAAAAAAGTAAATGGAAAAACATAAAAGTAAGTAGGTACTCAGCACAAAATTTGATTTTATACTTTTATTACTAGCAACACATATATACAGCTTGAAACATATGTTATTGGTCATACAACAGCATGAGGCTAAGTGAAAGGAAACAAAAACAGTCAGGGATTTACCCTGTCCAAGAATTTGTGGTCAGGGGACAAGGAAGCCATTACAGACATAACACATATGCTAACTTATGGAGAAACCAACAGAATTTATATGATACTTTCATTTATTCAAAGTATACTGACCTTTGGTAGAATATATGAATTTAATCCAATAGAATGATTGAATAAGGAACAAGTAGAAAATCTTTTTAAATTTGATGTTTCACTATTTAGGTTAAAGTAGTAAGAGGGTAGAATAAAAAAAATTCAAAATTTGGGGATACTATGAATTATGTAACCAATCTTAAAGTTCAATAAGTAATGTTAAACATTACATTCTTATAGCATTTCAAATTCAATTTTTATAATGTGTTATAGCATTTCAAATTAAATTATAACAGGTTATATTTCAAATTAAATTATTACACTAAAAATCAGTATTAAAAAGATAATCTTAAAATAGCAAGAGAATATAAGAGAAGAGAAGAGCCCACCCTACGAGTCTATTCATGAATTCATTTATTCAATAAACATATGTGGTCATCACTCCCTCTATTTCTCTTGTAATTGTGGTTCATAGTGTGACATTCAAGGTAAAAATAGTATAATGGCTTGTAATTGGTTCTTGTTGCACCAGGTATGTTGAGATTAGCTTGTCCTGCCACCAACTAGTAAAGCCATTAACCCCCGAGTCACAGATCCTACAGCCATGCTGATGGCCACTGAGCACAGGTGAGTTGGGGAAAGGTGTCCCTTTCACCAACTGGGTTGGGAAACCCTTCTGACTACCCTCACACAATTTAACCAGTCAGTCAATGCTGTTGACCAGACTGTCACTATCGAAGATCCCATGAGACTTCTTGGAATTGTGTGCAGGCCATGGACCAGTACAGTTCCACATCTCAATTCACCCGAGAAAAGCAGGGTTGACAGCATCACCGCAAAAGGTATTACCACCAACAATATAACCCATTATAGTCTATCACTTTTTAAAGTTTAATTTTCTATTTTATTTATACAAATGTTCCACACAACCAATAAAAAAATTTTAATTTTATATACAAGACTCTTGTGTCACTTGTCATTAATAATTACAAAATTGTAGATTTCCAGCCATCATGGTATGGATGTTAATGTTGTGTATTGAAATACAATGCTACCCAATTATGGACTAAGTGCTTGAAGCTTGCAGACATATTTTGGTGCTTGCAGACTTAAAGGCTTAATTATTATTATTAACTAGCAGCCAAGCCCAGCTGGTCAATCAGAAAAAGCATTCAATTAGAATGGAGCAAAAACAGCATCATATTTACATGTAACAGAGGCTATCTTCTTTAATTAATTTAAAGTACTATCATTAAAAATTTTTTTGAATTAATGCAGTTACTCATATAACAGTAGTCTGTATATATTCAATCAATGTTAGCCATGGACATGAAGGAGTAAAACAGGCAACATGAAGACCCACTTCAGACCAGAATTATTTTGGAGTTTTTGAAATTCAATTTGTCAGCGTACTACCAGGGATGTAAAAGAGGATACATTTACAAAGCAATTGTTAAGTTTGATGAAATTTGGTTGAATGATCAACAAAAAATAAGAAACGAGTAAGGAAAAAAAAAAAAAAAAAAATTCACAATTTTTCACTATTTACATGTGTTTTCACTATATGGGTGGACTGAATTATCAACTTAAATGACTGTTAAACAATCAACTTATTGGATACAATTGAGTGAAGTTTGTATTAGATTGCTTGAAAATTGACAGTTTTTAGTTTAAATTTTAATGATTTTCAATAAACACAGTGGCATAGAAATAAAAATGAGGTATTGTTGAGCTCGTCATGATGTAAGTAACCTACATACCAAGTTTGAATGAAATCAAGGGAAAAAAGTTGAATTTTCAATTTTTGGATTGGCTTTGACTTTTTTTTTTTTTTTTTTAAATTATTGATTTTTTACACTAAGAACTTGTCTCTTACATTGTACAATGTATATGTCAAGTTTGATCAAAATCAGTTGGCTGGATCTCAAGTGAAATCTATCACACAGACATATATATGATAAAGATTACTTTCCCCATTGATTAACTTCTTACTTACTTGGATTCAAAAGGCTCCTAAAATACACCAGTGATATCCTATGGTAGTGGTGGCAGGGTGGACATGATAATATTGGTAATGTTAATATTAGCCATTTCCATATAAGGAAACATTCGGCATTAAGTAACTGAACAGTCACTGCTGCTATCAGTTAAAATTTATAAAATCTTTTCTCTTAACTTTTAACACACTGTAATATTTCACTACTTTCCTTTCCACTGCATTATTTTTCAAGGTTACTCTACTGCACTACTTATTTCAGTCATGGTCATTTTCTGTTTCCATAGCAGGATATAACAACACAATTGCAAAATTTAAACATACTATCATTCATTAATCTGAGTCACTTGCTTTGCAAACAAAATCGCCTCCACAATGGTAATGGTTAAAACAATTTTTCAGGAAAATAGGTTTCTACATATTACAAGCAGTTATCTCACTTTTCTGGATTAATGAGAGTTTCCTTCTTAACCTTTTGTTTGAAATTGTGTGGAATGTCAACAACTTGATTGTCATTATTATCTCTTTAAGTCTTAAAACCCTCAAGTGATGTGGTTTCTGTTATTTGGTTCAGTTCTTTTATGTTTGAAGAAGGATGGGCCTTGCCAAGACCAACATGCCTGCCTCACTCACTCACTTGTCACAGTTACCTAATGGTGGGAGTTCAAACCCTAGATCAACCCCAGTCAGTGAAATCCATACACTCTCTGGTTAAGCAAGAACAAACAAGAAATCACATAAAAGATAACAGGATGCCCGAGGATACCCAGAGCGTACTTGACCAAAACACTGTCTATAACAATATCTACAACAAACAAAAAAATGAAAACTATAGTTCAAAGAAATCAAAGTATATTGACATACTTAAGTAATGCTGCTCAGATTTCTAACTAGTGATATTAGCAGCCTGATCTCCCCTACTTACTAATGACATTAGGCTGCATGACCAATAAAACAAAACTGTCATAAAAAAAAAAAAAAAAAAAAAAAAAAAAGGTCAATTAAAAATAATTACCTCATTGACAATGTAAGAATACATTCTATAATTTGTCTTCCATTTTGGCTCTGTGGCATTCAAGTAGAAGCCAGCACCAGACCCAAAATCATAGGAATCATCCTCACCTTCGATTTTACAACCACCTGAAAAAAATATAATAAAGTTTAAATACTCACTTTAAATTCCAATTTAAGTTAGGTACATAATCTTTAAGGTTTGGCCACAAAACTATGAAGTAGGGGTGCTGAATGTAACATCAATCAGCTAAGTGACAAATTTCAAATTTGTATTAATCCTACATTATATATATATATATATATATATATATATATATGTGTGTGTGTGTGTGTGTGTATGTTCTGTCACCACAATACAGAATCTCCATTGTTTTACTTGGGTCAAGAATGAAAATACATAATTTTTCTTAACTGGAATATGTGATGGCTCCAGTCTAGGGATTTAATAATGGCTGATATGAAGTAAAACTTAAGTAAGCAGGTTTTCATGTTTCTAATAAAGAACTAATCAGGTGCAGTTAATACAGCTGATGGATACAGGTAAACAGGTGGCCCTAGGGTAGACAAATTTATTCAGGATAAATTAAAATTGTGGCCCGCAAACTGCACTTACAAAACAATAGCCGTCAATCACAAAAATGACCATTCTTCAATCATTCTGACCAAAATCAACAGGCACCCAGAAGTTGGGTTTATTATTCTGCAAAGCCAGGAATCAAAATAAAGAATGTTGGAGATCATGGCTCTCCACAATCTCCTGTCTTTTGTAGAAAGAAAAAAGAAGAGAAAGAAAAAAGAAGAGAAGAAAGAAAAAAGAAGAGAAGAAAGAAAAAAGAAGAGAAGAAAGAAAAAAGAAGAGAAGAAAGAAAAAAGAGGAGAAGAAAGAAAAAGAAAAAAAGAGAAGAAGGAGAAAGAAAAAAAAGAGAAGAAAGAAAAAAAAAAGAAGAAAGAAAGAAAAAAAGAAGAAAGAAGAAAAAAGAGAAGAAAGAAGAAAAAAAAAAAAGTAACTCACGAGGGCTGGTATCAGGCACCACAACAATAAGTTTACATTCAGCCGCATATTTCTGACAACCTGCCTTTGTAATAAAATTTTGCTCTGTGCAGGTCAAACCTATGGGGGAAAAAATAAATAAATAAAAATAAATAGTAAAAAGAAAAATAGTAAAAAGAAAAATAGTAAAAAAAGAAAAATAGTAAAAAAAAAAAAAGTAAAAAGAAAAATAGTAAAAAGAAAAATAGTAAAAAGAAAAATAGTAAAAAGAAAAAATAGTAAAAAGAAAAATAGTAAAAAGAAAAATAGTAAAAAGAAAAAAGTAGTAAAAAGAAAAATAGTAAAAAAAAAAAAAAAAAAAAAAAAAAATAAAAAAGAAAAATAGTAAAAAAGAAAAATAGTAAAAAGAAAAAAGTAAAAAAAAAATAGTAAAAAGAAAAAAGTAAAAAGAAAAAGTAAAGAAAGAAAAAAATAAATTTAGTCAAATACTTATTATTAATCTTAATAGGAAAGAAAAAAATAATCTATATACACACAGATATACATACATAGGGTATATCAAAAATACTTATACTAACTGGGGGCAGCTTCCTCACAAAAAAAAAAAAAAAAAGACAAAAATCCAGATAAACAAATCCTTCTTGTCATTTTTGTACATTTCTGGCTATTCTGTTTTCAATGTTTAAAGTGTGTAGCAAGTTAACTGAGAAATGTTCCATCTAACAATTACAGGATACTCATATCCTGAGCAGGCAGATATGATTTTTACATATGGTTGTGTGAATGGTAATGGACAGGAGGCTGCACCGCTGTATCAGATTGTGTTTCCAGACTGAACGCAGCTGAGTAATCCAATTTTTGCTGGTTTATCATTGCATTGCTTAGACAAGATCCATGGCAATGCAAACTATGGATGTATGCCTGACCATAAAGAACACATTCTACAGGCTGTTGGAGATGATCCAGGTATGTCAAGTGGCCATAGTATGTCATACAACTCATAGTACCACATGGAAGGTACTTCAAGAGCAGCTCCTGGCTCTATATCATTTGCAACGTGTGCAGGGTTTTTTGCTCTCTGATCACTCACCACAGTAGAACTTTTGCCAGTGGTTTATTGCACAAACTGCTAATCTGTCTCTTCAGTCTTGTTTACAGATGTGGCAACATTTGGAAGAGACAGAATAAATATTTCACAACCAACATTCGGTGGCAGATTTGGGAATCTGCATGGTGCAATACAGGTTAGACACGAACATTAGTTTACGATTAATGTGTGGGCTGGAATTGTATATCCATAGGTTACATCTTACAGGAGACGTGTACAGAGACTTTATTTCAAACAGACATGCTAGAGGATGTACCCCTGCTAATACAAAGACGCATGTGGTTCATGCATGATGGGGCTCCAACACATCTGATATTGTTCACAATGTACTGGCTACCATGAAAGATGGATATGTAGGGGAAAACCAGTTACCCTGTATGTTCCCCCTGACCTAAATCCGTTCAATTTTTAGGGGCCACCTAAAATAGCAGACATTAATAATGCAGTGACACTTCAACATGTCGTGGGGGCCTGTGAAACCATTCAAAACTGTGTGGAAGTATTTTAAAGGGTCTGCCAGTCAATGATTTGACAGGTGCAAAAAGTAAAAGCAAGCCAAGGACATTTTCAATATTTATTATCAGTTGCTGTGTTGGGGTACAATGATGGCTTTTGGACATGTTTAGAGAAAGAGAGAGAAAAAGAAGACGGGGGAGAGATTGGTCCAAAGGGAGGGGTGAGAGAGAGAGAGAGATTGGTCCAAAGAGAGAAAGAAGTGGCGGAGAGATCAGTCCATAGAGAGAAAGAATGAGGGTAGAAGATTGGGCAACGGAGAGAGGGGGAGGATAAAGATTATTTATTTGGGCAGAAACATTTTTCAAACCAGTTTCATTGAATATGGCAGAAAAAGAAAATTTGATGAATTTGTTTTTACAGAATTTTTCTACTATTCTTTGGCTAGAATACAAAAGGAAACGCAAACAAATGGATTAAGGTTTGGCTGTGGTGGTAGTGGGGATACTACTACTACTACTACTGTTGAAGCAGTCTCAGTAATAATAATCTTTTTTTCTTCCAAATATTGATGAATTAAACTTAAATAAAAAAATAAATAAAAATAAAATGTAACATTTTCTTTAAAACTTTATCAGATTTTTAACAGACAGCTGTTGCTTTAACATTTAAATTCTCGCTGCTTTATTTTTTTCATTTATAGTCAGGTTGTGTACATGCATGTTTTTAGAAAAATATTTTCTTTGAGCAAACTTTTTTCTTGTCTGCATGCTTTGTCAGTGTCATGTTTTTGTCACACTAATATAAAATTAACTAGCATAGTACTAATAAAAAAATTAAAAAAAAAAAACAGGTTATCCATACATAGATAATACCAGCTGATCAAATGGAAGTGAATCAAATAAAAACTTTCAGGATCAAGTGCCACTTGGCTGGAATTAAGGATATTCCAGTCACAAACTTCTATAAGCAGGTTTACAGTCAGAATTGTCAGCCTTTGAACCACCCAGGCTATTAGTGGAGACAGAGAACGTCACATATTCTTAAGTAAAGGACTAACAGTTGAGCAGTAGGCGAAAATTGGCAGTCAGAGTGACATGGCAATAAACGGTTAAAGCAAGTGATATAGATTCAGAGTTTTCACTGGCCAAACGAAAGATCTGCTCTTAAATCTGACAAGAAGTCAGGAAAATGAAAGACTAGGACAGGTGAATCTATAAATAAATAATCAAATATATTGGAAAAAAAAAAAAAAAATATTCATTTCTTGCCTTGGCATTTCCCAGTTTTTGTACACAAACGCAAATGAGTATCTAAACAAAATGTAGAGGGATTTTTCCAGTTGGTGAAAGACAGGGAGAATCCCTCCAGCAAGACCTACCCAGGCAGGCTGGTACGTACTAACCCCCCAAAACAACCGATTTGTGGGTGTTAATTGGGGGCTTCCCAGGTAGTGCTTTGTGACCCCTATCTTATTTGCTTTTCTCTACCTATATTTATATACATTACAAATTAAGCTAAGCACAACTGACTATTAAAAGGATGAAAATTTTTCTGTAATTTTGATGGTATTCTGGGGAGTCTTTTTTTTTTTTTTCAGCCAAATGTGAATTTGTTTTGCATATGCTAAAAAAAAAAAAAAAAAAAAAAAAAAAAAATTAAATTTTCATTCATTGTTTTTATTTATAATGTGGAAAGTGCTGAATTATTCAAGTTTTAAAAAGAAAAATCTCAAGTTGATATTAAAAATTGCTGTAAAACAGATTTATTTAATTTTCTAGTTGAATTGTTCACCGATATTGCATATGATCCATTATTGTAGAGAATTAGGCTACAATAAAACTTATATTTTTCTATGAATACTACCTTATGAAAATTGACAAGACTCTTGCACCAGCCCTGTACTCAGGTACATATCTGACTCCCTTAAAAGTTATATGCAGCATAAACATCAACACAAATTATACCTACTCCTATGTCAAAGCACAGATTTCATTGACCAGTATAAGTAAATTTATGTCCAAATTAGATTACAAGAATAAACTTTGCTACAAGATAACTGCTCACAATTTATACAACCGATCATCTCGTATCAAAATAGAAACAATCTTAAATTACCTGAAAGCCAGTAAAGAACAGGATATTTAGTCTTGTCTGCATCAGGAGGCAGGAAGATGCCAAATTTCATTTCACACTTGAGTTCCGAGCTCAAAAACAGAAAACAGGTTTTTAAATATTTAAAAATTTTTTTCAATATATATTTTAATGAGAGAAAGTGATACATTTGACAGAAGTTATTACAAATCACTGCATAGAGTAAATGAAAGAGGTTTGGGCAAACTTGGACCATTACCCTCACAAAAAAAAAAAAAAAAAAAAAAAAAAAAAAATTGATTTTCCCTTGACACCACTATTATTTTAACTACCTTCACTCCTCGGCAATGTTTATTCTAAAAAGCAATGATTGGAATTGTAATAAAACCTAAACATATGAAAGTGAATTTATACATTTTTTGTTCTTGAGAATTTACAACAAAAATAGGAAACATTACTCATTCATTAGATCAAGGAGGCATGGTGGAGTAATGGATAGCCCCTCAGATTAAGGAATCAGAGAGCAGAGTTTGAATTCCAGTCAAATCTATTATATTCACTTACATGCTAATACCCTAGGGAAAGGTATGAATCCTTTTCTTCTCCTGTCGGCTATGAGTAAATAGCAGGACAAACTGAGTTTTTTTAGCCATGTGAGGCAACCAGTCCAGGAGAAGGAAAAAACACCGAATTCAAATTTGGTCTGGACAGTGTGGGGCTCTGTCAGGCTATTTTACCCAAGAAACACCACTTCTACTGTACCTGCAGTACATGTGGTGCTCCTACAACTTTGATGGATCACAGGATTTGTACAGGATTCACTAAATTGTTTATTTACAAGAATAGTTTTATATTACAATATTCTAAAAAACCAATACAATTAGAACTTATGCAATGCAATATTTATCATTTACCAATTTATAAAGAAATAAATATGAAAATTTGTTATACATAAATTTATAAACATTTACTAAATTATTAATGTGAACCAACTATAAAGAAATCCTTACCATTTACCATTTTATAAAATTCTAATTGATTGGCAATTAGCCTATGTTTTTCCAACATTTCCAATAAGCAATATAATAAATAAATAGTGTTTATTATTTTTGTTGTCAGTTCTCAAGAACAAAGAAAATCAATCAATTCACTTTTATATGTTTAGGTTTTATTACAATTTTAATCATCATTTTTTCAAACCATAAACATTGTCGAGGAGTGAAGGTAGTTAAAATAATAGCAGCGTCAAGAGAAAAAAAAAAAATCGTCCTTTTGACATTTTTTTTTTCCTTTTGCATGCATGAAGGTCAAAGTTTGGCAAAATTTACGAGGACAAGTTTCAACCTTGATAAGTAAACCAAGTTAATACAAAAATTGCCTTTGCATGCATGTCTAAAATACATAACAGAACCCAAAAAAAACAGTAAATAAGTGTGATATATAAAGAAAGACAGGAAAAAACAATGTCCACCATAAGAATCTAGTATTAATTATAAAGATTATAGAAAACAGTTGTTATAATGATTAGAGAAATAAGTTTTTATCTATGACTGATTAAACTCTACAAAAATGGCAGAGTGGGAAATAGTAGGTTAAAATTTGAGTTTACAATATTCACAAATTATCACCCACAGACTTCAATCCAAAATAAGTCACTGAACTGACATTAAATACAGATTTAACCATCCTTAAAATAATATGTCTAAAAATGTTTCTCTTCAGTACTGGTTGAAGATTAAAAAAAAAATATAATTTCAATAATAATTAAATAATTACAATTTCTAAATCACCAGAAATAGAATGATAAGAATTTATGACTTAAAAAGTATCATATGCACAAAATAAAATAGAATAAGATATACATTCAGTTTTAAATATGTTCTTCTACACAAGGCTCGAGAACCACCCAAAGTAGAGTTACTGAAGGAGATTGTTGTAAGGAGAGGGAGTAGAAGTGTATATTACGAGGGCAGATAGGACAGACATCGGTTGACCCGTGACTTGAAGACAATTAAGATTGTAGCGGTCAGGGGGGAAGCATCTACTCATTAGTGTTTCACAAAGTGACAATTTTGGGTGAAGAAACTAAGAGGCACTGCCTCCTTACCAAAGAGAATGGGAATGATTTGACATTGTATACACGGCATGGCAGTCCCAGCTTTGAAGGTCTGAACTGGTGAAACTAAGGAATGGAGCACATTTGAACATTTGGCATAGTAATAGCACTAAAGTAATGACAAACTAGCAATGTTTTATCAATAGGAAAGGGGTTGCAGGGCGGAAAATAATTCATCACCCACAAGGCCAGGTCTTGATTATCTTGGAATCATCCCCAGTGTGTTATATTTATTTGAAAAAATTTTCATATGACAGAATCATTAATCTTGAACGGAATCTGGGTTTTTAATGTAATTTTCAATAATAAATAACAAATTAAGCATCAGAAACCATTCTGATGTAAATTTGCATGCTTATTTCAAAAATAATAAAAGTTTGCAAAATAAAACCGTTTAAGAGTTATCAACAATAAAAGTTTGGCCTTATTCAGCACCATTACTGGCATTGTTTACATACACTTGCCTCAAATACTAATGCATGGAAACTTACTTAGTTAACGGTCTTTTTACCGATCTTATATCTTTACTCATCTTTATTACTGTGGGCATTTAAAGTTCACTCATTGTACAGTAATCAAGACAAGTGAAGCTTCCGCACATTATTACTTGAGGCAAACTTATGTAAACAAAGCCATAAAAGAGGATAACACAACATTTCCACACTCTTTGTTTCTAATTAAATTTTCCTGTTTTTAATACTTTGCTTAGCTTCAGGAAGGCATATTTCACTTATCTAATGCACTTTTGAATTTTGGTGTCACATTTTCCATCCTATGTTAAAATATTTCATTTGATGTTGACATTTTCAATTAGTAGTTCGCATCTTGGGATGTTTCTCTTGCTGATGGCCATCAAAAATGAAGTGGCTCTACATTTTCTTCTTTATTTTGTAATACTTAATATTCAAGTAAACATTTTATTGGCTGTTGAATAATTGTGGAATTTATCAAGTTTAACATGACAATAGAATTATATGTTGAATTCACTACACAAGGGAGATTGTCATACATAAATTGGGGGGACTGATAAGTAATTTGAAGGCAATGAATTTTATAGGTAATTTTTATCTAGTTCTCTATAAAAACGAAATGCAAATTGCTTAATTTACACACATTTGCTTAATGTTCTCAGGCAATTGTCATCACAGTGATGCCATCTCAAAATGATCAAAAGAATGGTTTGTTTTGCACATAAAAACACATTAGCTAGAAGCTACTACAAGCATTGCAGAATCACAGACTGAAGACTACAAAGAACTATGAAAAGAAATAGTGGGGTAGCAAAAGAAAGGAGCGAGTGGGCAAAAGGAGAGAGAGAACGGAGAGAAAAGAGTGGGCAAGAGAGAGAGAGAGAGAGAGGAAGAAAAGACTAGGCAAAAGGAGAGACAAAAGAATATAAAATGGGAAATATCTAAAATGATGAGGACAATTAACAACCAAACAGAAAGCCTCATTTTGATACATACCTGTCATGGCTGTAGACTTTTTGAAATCCACCAAAACTCTTAACAGATGAAATTTCTTTCAGGTTGCTCATGATTAGCCTCAAACTGAAAAAAATAAATAAATAAATAAATAAAATATAAAAGACAGTGCAGAGAGTTATGGTTAACAAGCAATCTGCAAACTATCAAATGTTTATGTTTGGCAGGTGGGGGATTTAATTTGTAGAGAAAGATCACTTAAGTCAAAACAAAAATAAGCCATCCTAGCAACCTGTCAAAAGTTAGTTCCTTGGCAAACCAAGTTTAACACATGCTTTGGATATTTGAACCCTGACATAATTCCATTTATGTTTTTATTAGAGTTACCATTAGAAATTGCTCAATAAGATGACTTAATATTTTAAAAAAAAAAAAAAAAAAAAAAAAATTAAGAATAAAGATGTCTATCCTTGACAAGGAAATTAAAGACAAAGTCATACCAAATCTAATCTTTTAATAACAACCTATGCCATATAAATAATGCAAATTTTACAAGTATTAAGCAGACTGTTCACTAATTATGTAATTTTTACCATATTTGCAGATTAGCATTCAACCTTCCCTATAAATAGCGACTCTCAATGTTCAATCTGCTCCATGTATATTCTGCTATAATATAGGATGTCATTACAAATGACACAGGAAGTCACAAACATGGAGATGTTGAGAGCCAATATTGATTGTGGCTAATGCTAAAGGGTTAAAGTTCCTGTTCTACTATTGAGTTGCTATAACCTTTCAGCTGATAAATTCTTTGGCCTTCATATGCACAACTCATAAGGACAGTTTTTCCCCCCCGTTTCACAGAACAAAAGGGTTAACAGAAAATGATAGCTAATATACTCACTCAGTTTATTTCCCAGCAATTTAAAACATGATTCTAAACAGAATTCAGTTAAAGTTAAGATCAGTTTTCAGTAACAAACTAGCCATCTTTTTTATTCAAAACTCAAAATGACTGAGTCTGCCTCTAACCTAACTGCACATGCAAATACAATAGAGGTCAAGTAAATCATTCACAAAATCTAACTGCCTGAAAATTGTTGATAACAGGTATATAAAGCAGGACACTTAACAAAAATGTACAAGCACATATTTTGTGTATTTACTCTTCTTTCAACTACATAGTGTCTACACTATGAACTTAAAAAAAAAAAAAGAAGGTCACTTGTGTAGAGTAGTTGTCTCCAAGTTGGTACTCTGAAAAGCTTTAACAAAAACATTAACCATATAAACACCACATGGGAGCCATTAATAAAGAATGAGGAGCAGCAAAGAAAGCCAAGTTTGACAGCAAGGTTTCAGCAGTTAAGGGTAACAATAAGAACATTAGCTTTAAAGTTCTAGCTTCAGGATTGTCCCACAAGACAAAAGCCTAGTGAATTAAAATTTTGGTTCATGAATGTGGTGGTGTAATTGTGAACTCTGTCCATGAGCTGCATAGTACAGACTTGGTAGAAACAGGGGAAGCAATAACAATAGTTCAAATAAAAAAATAAATAAAATAAAAATTTATATATATATATATATATATATATATATATATAAGATACAAGAGGGGGATCCCTAGAAAATGACAGTGGAATGAAAATCTACCTGCCTTGTAGATTAAATAAAGTGTTCAGTTTAAAACTCCCTGATGGTTACCTGCATCAACAAACACTTTAAGAAGGTTGTAGAATACAATGGCTGAAATTGTGATAATAAAGATGAGGACCTCCCAATCAAAAAAAAAAAAAAAAACAAAAACAAATCCTAACTATAGGCTTATAGGGCCATGGGATCTTCTGACACTTAATTTGACAAAACAATTAAAATGATATTTTGTTAACTTCTCAACAGAAGTTAAAGAATAAGAATATTTGATCATTTACAGAGTTCAGTTTACCTTATTCAGCCTCATAAACATACGTATGGTAGCATAGAAGAACAAAGAAACAACAGTACAACTGATGAGGTAAAAGGAAAAAATATAAATTGTAAATATAAAATTCTTTTGTATTGCTGGCATATTAGATGCCAGTGGAATGTCTATGTGGGCGAGCTGTAGCAATTTGAAGGATGGTTGGTTGATTTTGTTTAAATCAACCCCTATGAGTCATTTAATGCCAAAATCTACATTTGAACATAATTTTACGGCTTCAACTAAATATATTTTGAATGCAATTATCTGCCTACAACTACAGAAAATGTATCATTGATTATTTTGCTTTAATAATGTTTGTTTAGCAGCATATCAATGGGTCATTTGAGAAGGATACCAAAATGACTGAGACAAAAGATTAGTAGGACCTGAAATGCATGACTGAAAGCCTACTGGTATCTAGCCAAGTCCTGAATACTAATTCTGTCCAGATGAATACATACAAACAAGTGTATTCAGACAAGGGTAGGCTATGTGATATGGAAGTGGAAAATGTCACCTACATCATTAGCACTTGTAGGATGCTATTGCTTGTTTAGTGGCATATCAACCCATTATCGGTCACTGAATGCCAAAATTTAATTTTCTTGGGGGCATTAGTAATTTATTTTACAAAAATGTATTGCTGGCAATATTTCTTTACTATAAAAGTATTTTTACACTTTCAATTTTTTTTTTACCCCAATTTGTGAGTAAATTATTTGCCCACAGCTGAGAGTCTAACAGGTGATACCAACCCAGGTCACAGTGGATCTGTGAACAACAGCAATTAGGAGATGCAATTTAGAGGATAGTGGGGTCTTCAGTGAATATGTGTGCCAGGTAGGTTGACCAATGTCACAGTGGTGACATTAAAAGCATGTCAGGCATTGGCAGCTGACCAGTTCACAATGATTCTGTGCCAGTCATTTTTTTTTAAAAGCAAATTGTAGAGGCTCTGAAAATCATATTCAAGATTTGCTTATTTTTATTTTTTTTTTTTTTAATATTTTTGTGGGGGTTTATTTTTGTGTCGGATGTGATACTAGGGGCCCCTACACAGAAGACAACTTTTTCTATTTGGGGATTTTGCTTTATTAGAATTCGCATCTTGCTGGAATGTAGGATGAATACAGAGTACAACAATACGAAGAAAAGACACAAAACAGAACAGTATTTTTGGTTAACCTTTCAACAAACGTTATTTGGTACTATAGAAAGCAAAACACCATTTACCTTATTCGGTATCATAAGAATCAAAGACTTTCTGACTACCCTCGCTGTATTTTTCATTTAAAGGCTACAGTAGTTCCCGTCTCATTCATTAAGGAGATATGTTCCAAGTCCCACCCAACTTTAAGCTATGAATAGTACTACAACCTATTATTTTTTTTTTTTTTTAACATATACATATCTATAGGAGGTGCATATAGTGAATTAGGTGTGCAGAGTTCAATTCTCACTAGATTCTGTTTCTATCTGAGTGTGTTGTTAATCTTTCTCCACCGTGAACTGTATCGAAGATTTTAGAGTTCACATGGTCGAAAAGAACCTGAACATCTTGGTGTGGCCAGAGTATGAAGGTGTCATCTACATATCTTAACCATAGAGTTGGCTTTTGGAGAGATAGATTCTAAAGCCATTTCCTAAAAGTATTCCATGTATATATTCGCCATTAAATGAAAAACTGTTTTAAGAAAAAGATTTTGTAAACTTCACCTGATACTAATGCTGTTTGGTCAATGAATGCTGAATGTTTCCTGTATGGAAATGGCTACTTTCACCATTACTGTTAATGTTCCTCTTGAATTTGATAAATTCTGTCATTAAGTAACAATAAAGTCAAAGTCTGAACATCTTTGGAATGTACAGCCAGTATTTAGCTATGGGTAACTTTGATTCTTCTTTTACAGCATACTACCTGTCAAAAATGATAGGAATTGTTTATATATATATATATATATATATATCAACATTTCAGTATGGAAATGGTTAATCTGACCAATACCATTAACTGTGCAAATCAAAAATAGGATTGTCTACTTTTGAGAGGAGAAAAAGATAAAAATAAAAATCTTATTTCTATCAAAACAAAAAGATCATTTTTTGCCCCATTGTTCTAGCCTGTGGATTAAAATTTTGCACTTTTCAATAGCTCAGTCACAAGAGAAAAAAAAAGTAGCAAATTTGCCTACACTGCTCATGACAATTAGATTCCATTGTTGAAGGACAAACCTTAGAATTTGTCATTGTCACATTGACTGCATATTGTTAACAGTTATAATTTCATTTTAAGTTGCTTCACCAAATGTTGGGAGATGCTATGCTTATTTATATATGAAGAGCAATGTCTGTAGCTTCCTGTTAAATTTTGGGAAAAATCTATCTGGCTCTCTGCTTTTAACTTTTATTTGGAGGCTTCAAAATGTTGGTATAATACTAGGTATAAAAATAAAAGTACAAAGATCTATTGGTTCAAATACAATTAATAATATTTATAGAATTAATTTAAAAATTCCATGGACAGAGCAAGTAAGAAAAAAGGAAGTCTTAAGAAAAATGGCAACAGAAAGAACTCAAAAATTAAGAGAGCTGAAATTCCTTGGACACATGAGGAAAGAGAGCTTGTAAAACTTAACCCTCACAAGGCATATTAAGGGCAAGAAATAGAGCAGAGATTCCCAAACAATGTGGCGTGCCTCATAGGTGCAGCGTAAGAGGACAGCAGGTGAGGCAGAATGAAAAACAATCTAAGATTTAGAAACAGTTTCTAAAAAAAAAAAAAAAAAATTCATAAATATAATTTCAAAATAGACAGTGTAACCCGGATATAAGAGAGTTGGACCGGAGAAGAAGTCTCTTATATCCGGGTTTGGTCTATTTTATATACATTAACACAGGCTCTAATTTGGGACCAGAGAAAAACTCTTATATCCTGAATTTCGTAATTAATTTCAATTATTCCCAAATTATCATAAAAAAGAGTCACCAAAAAAATCATAGTAATGAAAACTTGGGAATCACTAAATATTGAAGAGTGAAAAACTTGGCGGGACTATTTTATTTTTAGGTGCAAAGTTGGGTTAAAGTTCAATTGCTGAAGACGTCGATGAAAAAAAAATACTTGGCAGGTTTTATTTGTTCAGATAATACAACAGGAAGGGGAAAAAGACAACCCTGCAAATAAATTTACACTGACAGTTTAAATTTGCTGTCTTATTTGAATTCTTAAACTTTAAGAATTCAAATAAGACAGCAAATTTCATAGAAAGTTTTGTTTTTTTTTTTACGGCCACTTTTTAAACATTTTCACAACCTCCTTTAAAAACTAAATTGTTAATGTCAGTTAAAATAAAAACGTCTATGAAGTTGTGTTTTTCTGCCATTATCTTCGTACTTGACCTTTAGTTTTAGAATGCAAAAAAACTGATAATTTTTGTAAAAAAAAAAAAAAAAAAAAATTTTTTTCAGCGGATATGAAAAAAGTAGTGTCGTCTTTAGGTTTTTTCGTTTATGCTGTTTAGTGTTTATGGAACAAAAAAATAAAAGTAGTAAAAGAAAACTTGCACTTCTGATTTTCTTTTTAATTCAAGTTTATTTTACTTAAAGAGTAGTTACTGTATTACGTGGCATAGAATTGCATTAATTCAGATATTAATAAAAAAAAATAAAAATTAAAAATGTATCTGCGAAGAATTAAAAGATTTGAAATTAATTAACGCGTTTCGTCCCCTATTTTTACAGTTGCTTTAGTTTTTAAACTTTTGTTCAACGACCAAAAAAATGCACTGGCATAAGGGAGGGTTTCCTCGTAATTTCTTTTACAGTGCACACGCAAAAAAGAGATTGCTTAAAAAAAAATAAAAAAAAAAAATGAAAATTCTAAAAGAACATTTTTTTTTTATCTAGCTTAGTCAGAATTTGAGAAGAGAGTCAGACTAAAAAGTTTGGTGTTGTCCACCATAGAGCTTCAAAATACAATTATTTTTTTCTTTTTTAACGAGCTTCATACGAGTCCGACTTTTAGTTTTAACATTTTTGCATTTGATTGTAATTCATTTCGAAATTAATGTTTTAAAATTAAATTTCTAAGATATTTCGGAATTTGAAAAAAACTGTAAATGATAAAGTACGGAACACAAACGAAAATAAAAGGGGTTGAGAAATGTAAACAAAGTTATTGAAAAGACATGTACAGAAAATAAATTCCACTTTTCGTCTTTGAAGAAACAATAAAATTCTTTGAAAATGAGCCAAAAAGAAAGTTTTGAAAAATGCACGACTACATTCGACAAAGAAAGAGGCTTCCTTTTTTCACGGTTACTTTTTAAATTATCGAGACTTTTACTTTTCCTCTTGCGCGCACACACAAGTGATTTTTTTTTACCAGTCTGTAATTTTTTTTAAACGATTCTCAGATGACACCATACCACAGGCTTCTTACTGTTACTTATATAAACCGAGATAGTTTTTTAGTTTTCTTGACTACTAAAGTGTTTTCATGAGCCAACAGTTCGTAAGTTTGAGGGCTGACACAGACAAGAACGAATGGCTTTTTATTTTATCACAAAACCCGAAAATGAAAGAAAAATGAAAAAGTTGAATAGTAAATAAATTTAATTAATAATTATTTTTAGCCTGTCTGTCAAAAAATATAATTTTTGTTTTCCTAAATGGGAAGCTTGTAAAAATGTACGGTAATGATTTCCTTTGAATTCTATCTGACGAAGACCTAAAAGACGCCGAAACATTGTAGGTAGATGGTGGAAATGTTTTTGTGATTATTCGATTCACAAAGAAGCAAATCATTATATAACTGTGAAAAACATTTTCTAAGCTTGATTTTGATTTAAAAAAAAGAAGAGAAAGCATTAACAATAAAGAGACTACTTATGTTTGAGTTTTTAAAACTTTTTACTTTATCAATTCAATACACCAACCAAATTGTTATGGAAAAAAAATCAGAACTTTTCATAAACTTTACAAACAATGCGATGTAAAAACTACTAAAGAAAAAAAACGATTTAGAAGAACGGGTGTAACTGAAAACGAAACAAGAACTTGAATAGTATTTACGTTAAATAATTGAAAAAGGAAAAACTGAAAATAAAGACGTGAGATATAAAAAAAAAAAAAAGGTTTCACCGGTCGGCTAGAAAAACAAAGTTAACTCTCTCGTTCAAAGGATGAGAACAAGTTGCATGTTTGCTGTCTTATGTTGATGCGTAAAAGGGTATAAAACGTTAATAGGAAAAAAATCGAAACATTCTGAGAGAAAATTGATAAAGATTAAAGCAATTTACATCCAAAAATTCACTCACCCGTTGTCAGTGAATGCTCGCACCTGTCTTAGCGCCAGAAACATGAAAACTCAAGACCGATAACTCTATCTTACTATCATTCCACCAAACATATGGCATTTTAGATGGCCAATTTTAAAGCAATCAGCTGGAGCCATGGACGTCTTGGAAGTTTGTTAATACTGTCGTCAGATTAAAAAATTACAAATATAGGACACTTTTAATAAATATATATAAATAAATATATATATATATATATATATATATATATAAAAGAAAGAACAGTAAGATATAAAAATTAAGCTTTGAAGATGAAATGGAACTAATGCTTTTAATTTAATTGCAAAATTAAATTCGGGGTTTTAGCTTCTATTTTGAAACATGGTTGGAACTGTGTAGCGAAAAAAAACCATATTTTAAATCAATTAATTTATAATATATATATATGTGTGTGTGTGTGTGTATATATATATATGTATATATATGTGTGTGTGTGTATATATATATATATGTATATATATGTGTGTGTGCGTATATATATGTATATGTATGTATGTATGTATGTATGTATATATATATATATATATATGTGTGTGTGTGTGTATGTATTTCTTTTCTCCATCTTCTTATTTTCTTTCTTCTTTTGAAGTGAGTATGTTTTGTCTTTCTTTTCTTTTTTTCAGCTATGTCTTGTGTCTTCTTTTTTCTTCTTTCTTTTTTCTTTTTCCTTTTGAGGAGACCATATCTTATGTCTTGCTTACTTGCTTTTCTTATTTTCTTTTTCTTCTTTCATAGTGAAGACATGCTTTTTAAGTAAATATCATAAATTCTAATAACCATCATTTGCCACTGCCTGTTGAGATGCAATGATATGCATCGAAATAGGAATGCATTGATGTAGTGGTTTTACATATGTTCAAATGTAATATCCTATAATAAAGAATTATCGCTCTACTTTTGTATTGAGCTCTTTTTTTAAATTAATGTAGTGAACATTTGAATTTATATTTGATTGGTTCTCACATTGATCACAAGGTCATCCACAGTAAATTTGTGCTCTGGTTCTTACAATATTTCAGTATTCCTGTCAGATCTATTATTGCAGTGTAGGATATCTACTAATAAAAGGGACGGAAAAAAAGAATTTAAATGAACTCAGCTGGATTATGCAATAAATTTTTTTTTAAATTAATTTAAAATTCCCAGCATCCCTTGTTCAAGTGCATATGTAGCCACACCAACATAAAAAATTTAATCTGATGCAGTCCTAAAGGATGAAACATATACTACTACTATATAATAGATTTTTGTTAATATTTATGATAATTTTTCTTGTTAAAAATCCTCCTGCCTATAATTTTTATAAGAAATTAATGTAAAATAATTAAAAAGTGAATATAAAATACTACAACAAAATAAGTTTGTTTATTGCTTTTTCTATTGAAGGGAGAATATAAAAATTTATATTAAAAAATGTAAATCAAATAAATGATTAATAAAAATTGAAAATAAAAAAGGCATGGCGGAGTAATGGACAGAGGCTCAGATTGAGGAATCAGAGAGCTGAGTTCAAATTCCAGTCAAATCCATTACATTCACTTATGTGCTAATACCCTTGGGAAAGGTATGAATCCTCTTTTTCTCCCCCCAGCTTGAGTAAATAGCAGGACTGACCGGGTTCTATAGCCAGTCTCAGTGATTCTGGTGAATCTACCAACCTTCTCAGTTTTGACTTTCAAATAAGTAAGTATATCTATTTCAATGAATATGTACTGTTTGAACCTTTTTTGAAAGGAATTGTATTGTATACCTTTGTCGTATCCTGTAAACACCTGGAAGAAAAAGCTTAACCAACCTCGTGGTAAAGACTGATTCAGAATCTAAAAAGGCCTCAAAGTAATGAAAAGACAACTTCTGCAACCCAGATGATTAGGATCAAAGTGTAGTATCTGTTCCAACAGTCAACAGCTGGCCCATAGCTCCAGCCATCAGCGGTAGTTCCCACTAACCAGCCAGCCTGCCATCATCAACTCAAGCTCAGAAGCAACAATATACAATAAACTGTCATTTTCAGGACAACGTTCTTCTCATCTTCTACATGATCATGCAGATATTTTTGTCTAGTGCACTGTAACCTTATTTTTGTTGATGTATTTTCTTTAACAAATTTATACTTGGCAATATATTTTTTTAATCAAGTCTTTCTTTTATTTGTTGTTGTCTTCCATCATTCAATATCTGTTTGCAGGCCAATATACCACCTGCAACACCTTAAAAGATTTTTTGACTGTTGAAATTATATAAGTAAATGAAAGTTTTGTTGAAAAATAGATTATCCAAGCTTATATGTGCATAAAATTTTCAATTTTGAATTAGTTTTCTTGCTTCAATAATAAGGTGCACAAAATTTTCATTTTGTGCACCTTATCTGTACATTTTGTATTCCGTCTTGTCATTAAATGTAAATTTTGTTCAAATTTCACAACTGAGTTTCGAGTCTTGTCTTTTTATACATGTCACCTTATAATTGTGATAAGAGAAGTGATATCCTCTTTTTCTCCCATTCTCCCCTATTGTTAAATAATAGTTTAACAGACTATTATTTTTTAGAGAATTGTATTTCTCCTCTGACTTCCTCATTTTGACCTTTGAGGTCAGATACAAAAAAACAAAGGAAGTCGTTATTGATTGGCTAAAACTAGTGCAAGAATGTTGGATATAGAAAGGAATTTCAGTGAGTTAAGTCTTGCACATCATACAATGTAGATGTGGTATTTTTGTCTCTAAGAACTTGATCCATAGTGGGGGTGAGAGAGTGACCCCACTGGCTAGTTAAAAATGTACATTTTGATGTGGTGAATAAAATAATAGTTAAGTTAAAATTCCTTTGTTGAAGTTCTCTTTCATCTCCAAACTAAAACCAACTAGCAATCACCCAGCCGAGAGAGAAGACATCTTTATTGTCGAGTCAACCCTGTCACCAAGACTTTGTGAGGAGAGGTGGCTGTACAACACTATAAAAAACATCCTTTTATTTTTTATTTTTAATACAATTACGATAACCATCATAATACTATTATAAGAATTTTTTTAAAATAATAGATTTCATATAAGTTTTCATTCTTATCAATAAAATATAGGAATTTGTGAGATTACCTCACCTTGTCTGCCAGGGGTATTTTACTTAATGTCTGCAAGATGGTATTGCAATAAGCATCATAAAAGAAAAAGACTCACACTTTCTTGCACCCAAACCTACAGGAGGCTTTCCCTCTTGAAAGACATTCTCTGGGCAAACCAAATTTACCAAATTTCAGCCAAACTATGTGGCACCTCACTCACACATGCACACATATACACATGAATATAATTTCTCTTCTTTTGAAAGTTTGGTTTGGTTTGGTTTGATTAATGGCATATCAACACCTTATGGGTCATTTAATACCAAAATTTAATTTTCTTGGGAGCATTAGTAATTTCTTTTACAAAAAATGTATAACTGGTAATTTTTTTACTGTGAAAATGTATTGCTGGCTAATATTATAAAAATGTATTTTTATACTTTCATAGTGTTTTGACTCCACTTTGAGGGTTAACTATTTTTGCCATAGCTGGGACCCTAACAGGTGCTACCACCCAAGGTCAGCAATTAAGAGGTGATTCCATGCTCCTCAAAACCTCCTGATTAGAGATGTTGCTGCCAGATGTAGTTTATCGTCATACCCAAGACAGTCTTTTGAAAGCTATGCTTTTTTTATGTATTCAAATATAGGAAAATCGTCAAAATGTTAAATTTGGTTGAAAGTATCATTCTTTCATGAGAAGGCATTTAGAAGACATTTGTACATAAAGTGAATATAACAAACCCAATAGGAATTTGAACTCAGCTCTCCAATTAACAATTTCAAGCCATTATCCATTGCACCGCCTACTTATCCAAGCTTATAGCACCTGGTATTCCCAAGCGGTCACCTATCTGTCCAGGCTCGACATTCCTTATCTTTGGTGATCTTACAGGAACCAGTGTCTTCAACCTACTACATCCTGGAGAAGAAAAAAGAAAAAGAGACTGTATTCTTTAATTTCAAACTCCTGAATAGAACACCAACTACCAGATATCATGGCAGACAAGGTGAGGTAATCCACAAATCTTTTTTATTCTTTAATAATATATATATTTTATATTTTGTGAATAGTTAATAAATTTTTCAACTTTCTTTTTTATCGTTATATTTTGCAAAAATCTTCATATTTTGAAATTTGGCACAAATCTTTCATATTTTCTAAATTATTTTTTATGTTAAAGTTGATGGTTGAAATTTTAAATTATATTTATTTTAAGAAACCTTCCAAAGATGCCAATTGTCCTTGTGAGAGCGTGTAAGTAAAAATAAATAAATTGTAAGTAGTTTATTATTATTTGAGGAATTTGAATGGTTATAATCAATTGTGACCATTGAAATATTTCTTAAATAGTTTAAATATGTTTAACTTAAATTTCAAGGATTGTTGTGGTTTAAAGCAGTATTTTTATTATAATGATTCAATTTCTCTTTATGGGTATGTTTGTTACCATTGTGACATAGAGAGAGAGAAAGGAGGTGGATTTAGTAATCAACAGTGCTAAAGAATTAGGATGAAGGTGCTAATTACTTGGGTAGAAGGGATTCCGAAGTAATTCCAGAAATAAGTTTTATTTTTTTTCGTGTTTTTTTTCTCTTAATAATTGTTTCTGGGGTTGAGATATTAGTTAGTTAAATGTAATAATTCCAAAGTGATTAACAGACAGATTTGTTAAAGTAAAGTTTGTGATAAATGGCGAATTGGACTTTTGGGTGGTCTGAATGGTGGAATTCAACCAGACAGGATAAGTGGTTTTGGCAAAACTTAAGTAGATGTTGTCTGTGGAAGACCCAGCAGGAGGTCCAAATCCGATTTTAGTACCTCTTGAAAACTAGCTTCCCGCGGAGTTTTGAGGACTGAAAAAGCTTGCATGGTGGTCAAAGGCGATTTGCATATTAAAATTCGGGGGCAGTGCCTAAAGATGGTTTAGCTCCACCTCTCT